CGCTGTCACTGCAGCTTCCTCGGAGCGGAGAAGCAGGTCCTCCAGTATGTCTGCCGTACCCTAAAGAGATAACAAAACAGATGAAGAACAAATAAATAATCAGCCCAATTACTAGTCTGCAAAACCAACAACGTAGATATATTGGTTTGGCGCTAGGTAAACCGCTAAAAGTTGCACAAAACCTTAAGCATTTTAAAAATAAATAAATATGTAAGTGATCCACAGAGGGGGGGATTTATAATAATTGTACAAAGTGTGGTTAGTGTGTTATATGAGGGAACCACAAGCCGACAGGGATGATGGGAAGCCGAATAAGTCCAATTAGCAAGTAGCAGGACGAAACAATTAAGCTGTCTTATTCATAGTAACAACACGAAAAGACTAATTAGAACAGCCTCTTATTTTCACAGGACTTTTTCAGAAACGTACAACAAAACCAATAGTTGGCGGAAAAAATAGTTGCGATAAATGACGGCAACTAATGGGTACTGGTGATTGGATAGTTTAATTCAGTTAGGGCATTAAATTACTCTTCAATGCCCGAAATTACGCAGGTTAGGAATGATCTGATGAAAAATAGATAAATCAAGGTGAAAAACTGGGATGAAAGTCCTATCTGAAGACGGTCAAGAAATGAGAAATAATCCAAGGAGAGGTAAAAAGATAAAGTTACAGAAGAATATAACAAGACTGGAAGGGGTTCTTGATTTCATGACTAGAATTTTTGCCAAGGACACGACCGCAGTTGAGTGCAAATGGTCAAGCTAATTAAGAACCAAATCCATGCCTGAAAGCGATAGTTACGCTATAATCAAACGTTAAGTTTAGCATGGTGCGCGGCGAAACTGTAAAATATTAGAGTAAAAGTGACATAAATGGGGCAAGATTTCGCCCAGCTTACCTGTGGGTTGTCCATCAGGACGAGACACTGACATATACTGACTGAGTCAGCCGGTGACGGTTTCTGGCTGTAGATTCCAACGAGGATATTTAGCAGACGCTTGCGGAATTTCACGCTGTCCACCAAATTTAAGACAACCTTCAGCGCATAGCGCATCATTTCATCCCGATCATCGGCACGGGTGATTGCTTCCTCGAAAATGTCTTCCCTAAAACGCAGATGGGCAATGCAGAAAATGAGAACATATAAATATGAGATCACACGGTACATAACTGTTTGCTTTTAAAAAAAAGTATTCTAGAGGATTGAGAAAAAGGTTCACTTAACGAAGCTGAGATGAATATAATACCTCAATAAACAAAAGCGATTGCTGCGACAATATATTTAAGGTACTTAATGAGATAAATATATGGATGAGGTGCGTTCTTTTACTAGGTAGTTCAGTGTTCAAAAGGGATGGCATTTTAAAGGAGTTAAGCCGAAAGTAAGCCACAGCTAGCTACACAGTAAAGAAAAAGAAATCAAAATTTTACTCCTACACTGGAAAGAATGCCAAATTATTTGGTCCCCTCTGCCCCATCCAGACTTTTTATACCAAAACGACCCATACGTTGGAGCTTTTTGAGCGCTTCACTAGAAATTTTAGAAAATATGATCTTTAAGTCCTTTTCGTGCCCCCAAAGAATAAATTCGACGGCCAACTATAAATATAAAAATTTACCGAAAGTCACGTTAAGTAAAGAATCTATGGCTAACAGACCTGTGAAATGAATTTAGAGGAAAAAGCATACCAACGGACTGTATTGTGGCTAACAAACCTCCCTTCCTTTCGATGGTGGAAGTATAGGTTGTCCTCATTTCCGACTGGAAAGCTATCACAACTGAGTAGACCCTGCCACTATTTCTGGTGAAAAACTCGCATTCGCTCAATAAGAAGCTTCCACTCGGTTTTATATTATCCGTATAACCTAAGAATTGTACGTCGTTGCCCTTACAGCGATCTGTACCAAAATGAAACGTAATGTGCAGTATAAGATCTTTAGGCAAATAAAAGCTCAGGAATAGAAAA